GAGCACAGCGCAGAATGCTGCATGAGGTAAAGAAGAATCCCAGAGTGTCAGCTAAAGACCTACAGAAATCTCTGGCACATGCTAACATTTTTGTTGACACATCTACAATAAGGAAAACATTAAACAAGAATGGAGTACATGGGAGGACACCACGGAGGAAGCCATTTCTGTCCAAAAAGAATATTGCAGCACGTTTGAAGTTTGCAAAAGAGCATCTGGATGTTCCACAGCTCTACTGGCAAAATATACTGTGGACAGATGAAACCAAGATTGAGTTGTTTGGGAAGAACAAAAGAAAAAAAGGCACAGCACACCAACATCAAAACCTCATCCCCACTGTAAAACATGGCGGAGGGAGCATCATGGTTTGGGGCTGCTTTGCTGCCTCAGGGCCTAGACGGATTGTTGTCATTGATGGGAAAATGAATTCTAGAGTTTATCAAGACATTTTGCAGGAAAACGTACGACCATCTGTCCGCCAACTGAAGCTCTGCAGAGGATGGGTGATGCAACAGGACAATGACCCAAAGCATACAAGTAATTCAACAAAACAATGGCTGCAACAGCACAGAATACGCCTTCTGGAGTGGCCCAGTCAGAGTCCTGACCTCAACCAGATTGAAATGCTGTGGCATGACCTTAAGAGAGCGATTCACACCAGACATCCCAAGAATATTGCTACACTGAAACAGTTTTGTGAAGAGGAGTGGTCCAAAATTACTCCAGATCTTTGTGCAGGTCTGATCTGCAACTACAGGAAACGTTTGGTTGAGGTTATTGCTGCCAAAGGAGGGTCAACCAGTTATTAAGTCCAAAGCTTCACATACGTTTTCCTCCCTGCACTGTGAATGTTTACATGTTATGTGCAATTAAACCATGGCAACATCTAATGTTTGTGTAGTATTATGTTCAGCAGACTATGTTCTTCTATTGTTGTGACTTAGATGACGTTCAGAGCACATTTTATGCCCAATTCGTGCAAAACTCCACGTAATACCAAGGGGTTCACATACTTTTTCTTGCAACTGTAGTTACAGGCCACTCCTGAAGTCTTCTTTGGCTGTACTGCATTTTCTGAATCTCATATTAAACTTAATAAAGTAGACATCTTTATTTCAGCACAGTTGGAGTGTTTCACTGACAACTTGATACATTTACTAATTGACTTGTTACCCTTTAACTATATTTAGCCAATTGTGGATTAATTAACAAGGTCTGTTTTACATAGAGCCATTTTTGTTTTTTAGCGTAATGGAATTTAATGAATCATGGACTAATTCAGTGCCTTCGCTGACATGAATGGCAATTTTCCTCCACCTTCTCCATTAGGGCTGCAAAGGTTTGTTTAATGCTAATGTCAGTGACTTGGTTAATGAGCTACAGGAGGAATTTCAAAGACAAGCCCAATAATGGTACTTTGTTAGGTAGATACTTAAGGCTGCATCTAGAGAACTCCTATATTTAAAATATTTCATTGTAACTGTAGACAGAGATTTGTTTTTAGTTTTGATAGAGAATGGAAAATTTAGAATCCTTGTCAGGTGTTATTGCTGTTTTTGTCTCTGCTGAGGAGATTCAACCTCTAAATTGTCCTGGTGACCACTGGGACAGAAACCAATGTGAAATCCAAAATGTTACAGTTGAGGTGAGGGGAAAACTTCAAAAGGGTGCACCTGTCTCAACTCATTTTGTATGTCAAACCTCCCCAAAGTGAAACAATAAAAAAAAAAGATGGAGGTTTTAAAGATACCCAATACACCTTCCCAGTGCTATTCTTTGATGTGTGTTAGCAAAATTGTAGTGGGTCTGATTTTGATCTGTTGTATGTCAGGCAGCCAATTCAAATAAATATCCTTCTTTAACGCAGGTTTAGGCATGATGTAACGTATGTTACCACATTAGACTGCCCTGGTATGAGTGGGTTCTTGTTTTTAAATTAGACGGTCTTTAAATGCAGTCATTAGTATTTAGAGTACCTAACAAAGATGTTTTGCGCTAGTCTTTGAAAGCCTTTTTGTAGCTCAATGCTACTTTTGTGGATAGAAAAGGGAAGAGATGGAAGCTTTGTCAAGCTTTTATTACAATATGCATTCTCAATGCAGAGGGTATCCTTAATTTCCTGTTCTGGCAATGATGATCATCACAAGAGATCTCTCCACATCTCCAGGGATACATAAACAAAAAAATACATTTTTAGAGTGGAAACGTTCAGAGCCTCTGTCAGGGTATTATTGCTGCCTACATTCTCATTGGCCCTGGGAAAGTAATGATACTTGATGCCTTCAAATGCATTTATGGCAGGGGCAATTAATAGTAGTTCTTATAGATAATTCATGTGATTTCCAATCTATAAAAGAAGAAAGTCTCCAATGCGTCACCATTCTAGTATTTCACAAAACCCACACTGTGTGAAATTAAGTGGCTGCTATTGCTGGCCTCCTCCTGAAAAATCTGGCTGTATGGCTTTCCTTTGAGAAACTGACCCAGAACAAGTATGTAGCTAAAAATATGAGAACAGTGATTTGTGTAGTTGAAGCCAGAGAGTCAGCATGATGGGCAGGGAACTAGAATATTTCAGAATTGCAATGGCAACTCATATGTCTCTTAGCATAGATTTAGTTGAAAAGGGTTTTTTAGCTTTGCTATGAAAATTAAGCAACTTAAGTTGGTTGTAAACCCTTACATATACCCAGTGAAGTGACTGGTCTCGGCTGATACACAGAGGTGAAGCAAATAATTTGTACCTGTCTATCTGTAGTCTTCTCTACATCTGATCAACGTGCTGAATTTATACAGCTTGTTTGAGCTATCAGAAAAAAGTGGGTGAAGAGATAAAATTACACATTGAAGAGCTAAGTGAGGAGAGCTCTGAGAGCTGATTGGAGGGAAGATACACACCCCTTCACACAACGCACAAGAACATAGCTGAGGTTATCAATCTGTTGGATATCCCTCCCCATCACAATTTTTGTCTTGGTGTCAGGAAAACTTGTCAGAAGTGATTCATGCTGACAGAAATGACACGTAGGGCTCTTAATTGAGAAAAGCACACACAATAGAGGGATATGCATTGTTCATATTTCATGCCTGAGGTTTGCAACCACTTTAACATGTATGTTCAGCAAAACGTTTTTTTTTAGTTTTGGGTTGGAGTGGAGAAGGATATAACTCCTTTCAAGCTTCCTTGCTATCTGGGGTTCCATTAGAAACATTTACCCTTATTTCCTGTCCCATTAACATTTTTCCCATTAACATTTTTTTTTTAGTGGAGTATGGAAAGGCTTGAGTCTCTGTTATAGGGTTCCTGTTTTTCATTAGCATTCAATTTTCAGGTTAATTACCCTACATAGGCCTGTTTCCTTCACTAAAGTCTGTGGCTTGAGAATACTCTGTCTGAACCAGACCTGCCATGCCATACAGCACCCAAAAATCACCCTGCCCCTTTACTTTTTTAAACCTTCTCCTAAGGAACATCGCTACTGCTGCAGTGCTTTTGTTCTTCAACCCATACAGCTTATCTGTGTTCTGCTGAGACTTTTACCTTGGAAATGTCACATGCTCTTGGAAGTCTCTTGCAACATCTACCATAACTCCAGCCACAGTTGAAGCTTTGAAATGCCAACATGCAACATAGCTAAACATGCAACAGTTTAGTTCTTCAATTTTTCATTCAAGCATATCAGTATCTGGTGACCTTGGAACACACGCTTCTGATGCTAGAGTGCTTTACACGAAACCTCATGTGAAAACATTTTAATACTAAGGCCATCATCCAGAATCATCCTTTTCTTGGAAGTCTGAATGTGAATTAGAGGACACTATCTTCAAGTAATACCCTCCTACTACGACTTTTAGAAGTTTTGTGTGTGTCATGGATGCTTTGGATTACATATTGCATAGTGTGTTGGACAGCATTAGTAGCTCACTGATGCTTGAGCTTTCAGTTGCGGCCTGGAATTGGTCTTCTATTTATGGTACATTAGGGTATATTTCTTTAAAATGGAGCATGTTGGAATAACCCTTACAAATAAAACCCTAAACAGTGTGGGACCATATGGTGGACAGAGACTGTAAAACTCTTGCATCACCATACACAAGCATACCAATGCAGGATAAAAACCTGATGTTTTTAATTTTACATCCCAGTATGTGAATAAGAAGAAAAAGAAAACAAATGTAGTTGGAGACCATTTGCATATAAATATTTTTTTTTCTTTATCCTCCCGCAGGGAGAAGAGAGGAAAAAAAATTACATTTACTCATGCAAAAAATGTAAAACCAGGGAAAGTATAAGCGTCTTATTGCAAAGATCCCATTTTGCCGTAAAAATATGTTTTATTGCACCTATTCATCGCTTAGAAAGTTGTGAACCACTTCAAAGTCTCTCAGAATCCTGTTGTTATTTACTTTTTTGCTTAGGCAATTTTTTAACTATATTACTCTTTTCCACTTCTTTTCCTCTCTGGTTTACTATGGTGTTGTCATCATTTAAAGCTGAGGTAAAAATTGTAGACTTGTTTTCTCCGATGACTTGTTCTCGATTCAGAACGCTGGCTTGTGCTTTAATAAATACCAAAGGGAACACATTGGATGAGGTTCCTTCAGCAGGATTAAATTTGCTTGAGAGAGCCCTCTAGTGGCAGTCTATCATTCCAGATTCGATGGGTTTTATAAGACGCACTGGAAAGTGTTAGGCGATAAAAGAAGGCCCAATTAAAAAAGGAGTAAAACAATAAAAAACAGGGAAATTCCTACATGAACACAACTGACCAAAATCTTTGAAAGGCCAGCTCCTTATGAACCAGAACTCACTCTGATTTTCATCCAAACAAATCTCTCGTCTTTTCCCTTTGTCGATACCATGACAACATGGCGGCATCAGTAGTAGCTAGTTAAGGATAGCAGCGTACCATTTCCTATCGATAATTAAAGATATTTCTCATACTGTTGTCACTCTCATCACCACCTCTCTGTTGGAATTTGTGCTATTTCGATGTTCATTAGGCCGCAGGTGGCTGAGGATGTGTAGAATTGTATAACCACAGTGATGGTTTAAATATAGTCCTAACCCGCTGGCTCCGCCCCGGGCCTCTGTCATTGTGAGAGGAATGGTTCGTCCGTGAATTCCTTCCCCCAAGCTTTGTAGTCCCAGTTATAGGTTCCCCAAGGTCCTTAGTTTTGTCATAGTTCAGAACTTTCCACTGCTGATTGACGGCTTGCCATCGCTTGAAGATCCGATATACCGATGAGCCTTCGTGAATTATGAGACCTGTTACAAGATAAGAAGAACAACATATACTAAATATACAAATAACTTTCTATTGTATTCATTTGCAAGCACTCCTCCATTGGTATTTTTTTAAAGTAAACCATGGCATTCCTCTTGCTATCCCATCTGTTAGAACCTGTACATATACAGTAGAATGTTATAGGTCTTTCATTGCTCACTCTTATATCACAGCTCTCTAGTCAGGTGCGTCCCTAGGCAGGTGCGGTGGGTGCGCGCCGCACCAGGTGACAGGTTTTGCACGGGAGTGACACTGGACCCGCTCCTCCAGGGATGGACTGACCGAGGGCCAGGGGTTACTACAGGGCCCCATGAAAGGCTCAGTCCATCCCTGTATGTGCCACTGCTGAAATAAGCAAGCATTGAGGGGACGGACAGTGAGGCAGGCACTTCGGACACCTCTCCTCCTCGGAGTTTCAGCAGAGGGGCGGGTCCACATCCCTGCCACGGGTGCTGAAGTCAGAGAGCTGGAGGGGCGAGCAGAGTATGCAGCAGTTCAGTGTGTAATCCTCGGACCCTGGTGACAGCACTGCAGCTTCATGTAGTAGGTAGGGGGGAGAGAGAGGAGGGGAGAAAGAGGGCAGAGAGAGAGAGGGGGTGTCACCAAGTGGTCTGCACCAGGCGACACCAACCCTAGGGACGCCAGTGTCTCTAGCAACCCTTAGATAGCAGTTGTGAAAACTCAGTGTAAAAATGTATTTTATCTTTAGAAGCTTGCAAGGTCTGTCTGCGATCAGGCTGCCTGGGTGCGACATTGTCCTTTTTTCCCTACTGGCTGCAATATTTTTATGTGCTCTGTGTTCGCTGACCTCATGTTTCAGCTAACATTAAGGTTAAAACATATATAAAAAGACTTGCTATGTTAAACCTAATCAGTCCACTTTACTTGATACATTCTAACACAGTACAACGCCACTTGGACAACAAGGAATATCTCCTAAACATGCACAGTTTAGGAGATATTCACTGTTTCTGCAGCCGATGATGTCACCAGCACATGTGCTCTGAAGGGATGGCATACTCATGCTGTCCCTTCAGAGCTCTGTTCTGCAGCTGTGACTCCTGTGCGCATGCGCGGGAGTAACGTCATTGTAGCCAGGCCATTCAAACGGCTAGAGCTTGCAAACCTGGAATGAAGACTGGATAACTATGGAAGCCCTGTCAGCAGTGATATCATGTCACTGGAGGATTTCGTTTTAAGGTAAGTCTTTCATAATGTGCTAGTATGTGATGTGTACTAGCACATTGTGATATTACCTTACAGAAGGAATTGTTTTTCTTTTGAAAGTTTACTACTGCTATAAAAAAACTTCTTCTTAAAGAGAAAAGGAGGCTAGCCTCGAAGTATACACTAAATACAGCTGTCATATTCAAGGATATGCTTCATGCATGCAAGGCATCTAAGGCCGTATAGCTAAAATTCAGGCATATTTCTTCATCCACGGGCCACAGCTGCTGCATACAGCTGCCCATAGAAATAAATTACAGGATTTGCCTGTATGTGGTGCACTTGTACAGATATAGGACCCTGGACACAAAGTCTGCGTCCAGAAGTGTATGTCCATATGCGTAATTTCTATGGATGGCTGTATGCAGCAGCTGTGACTCCCAGGCAGAGAAATGAATTTTACTTTCTATGGCCCCAGGAACCCATGTTCAAGTGACCTACACTGATGTTTATGTGTAAATGTGCACTTTTTTCAAGATTCTTGCAGCTGTAGTTATATTTTTTGAGATGGTATTGCATTGTGCAGCTTTCTGTATCAGTATATTTTTGTTGAAATTAAAGTGTCATTAAAATCAAATCATTAAAAAAATGTCAATACTGTACATGCTACATTACATTGTGTTCATACTCACTCATCCACTAGAGCAGTGGTCTCCAAACTGTGGCCCGGGGGCCGGATGTGGTCCTTGACTTGCCTTAAACTGGCCCTTGAGGCACTATTCCCCCAACTGACAATGTTGATGGGGCTCTATTCTTCCCATTGATACCAACAATGAGGTACTATTCCTTCTATTCAAACCAATGATTGAGCATTGTTTATGCCCACTGACCCACTGATGATGGAGCATCTTCTACCCCACTGGTTAAAGTCCAGCCCCCCTAACATCTGCAGGATTGTAGACTGGCCCTTTGTTCACAAGATTTGGAGACCCCTGCACTATAGCATTTGTTTTCTGTAGACTACAAAAATCCTGTGTTTCTGCTGCAACCTGAGTTTGTGCAGACCAGTTGTTGACATCTACTGAGCATGCTCCAGTCTCAGCTCCCTTCAAAGTTGTTCATTTATCATCTGTGCAGCCCATGTGACTATAGAGTCACACATTGTGGGCAAATACACAGTGGTAAATGATACTCCCCCTCCCTTCTCCTCCATGACCTCATATTGCTAAACACTATGGGAGCAGGATGCTGATTGATGGAGGCTTCACCTTCCAGTTAGTCCAAGAGCATGCACACCAATGACACAGGCTAGAGGGGCATGACACAGTCTGTGATTGTCAGAACCTCCTCCAGATCTCTTTACAGTGTGAACAAAGTGAAAGCTATTGTCAGTCAACTTAAAGCGGAGTTCCACCCAAAAGGGAAAGTTCTGCTTTAATGCTTTGTCCCCCACTCCCCATTAAGGATTGGCACCTTTGGGGAGTGGGGGGGGCAGGAGCGGATACCCGAATTTGACAGGTACCCACTTCTACTTCTGTTGCGATCGGCTAGGTGATCAGAAGCGGAAGTTGTCCTCTCCCCCCATAGTCTTCTGGGACACGTGACAGGTCACAAAGCATAGTGCTTCTCACGCATGCGCAGTGGGCACCCGGCTGTGAAGCCACAAGCTGACACAGTCGGGTGCCCACACTAAAGATGCCGGCACCAGGGAGAGAAGACGGCCGGTGAACCCAGCAGTGGTGAGGATACCGCTGGACTGAGGGACAGGTAAGTGTCTATATTTTTAAAAGTTAGTAGCTACAATTTTTGCAGTTGCTGACTTTTTTTTTGCAGCTGGAACTCTGCTTTAAACTCTACTTCCACCATGGTATTGCAAAAAAAAAAAAAAAACATTTGCTTTGAAATATACTTATGTATGAAGCTTTAAAATGTTTTGTTGCTATTAAATTATTTATTTTAATTCTCTGTTCTGAAAACCTTTTTTTTATGTCATGTGATTGACGTAACACCAATCAATGCTGTGCAAACACAGATTCATAAATCAGCAAAGTACCAAACTCCTCCCTTACAATTTTCCCTGAGGACAGGACTGACCTGGGAAACTGCATCTGACCTTTGAACAGCAATGATAAAATAAGGTACTCAGATGCTTTTTTATATTAAATGAAATACAGTGGCATGATCTGTAAACATAATCCAACAGGATAATGACAATTAAACATTGTATGTTTAGTATCACTTTTAATGGCCTGGGCAACAGGGTCTCTTTAGGTTTGAAAATATGAGCTATATCTTGCTGTGCAATGACAACTGATTTTCTCCATTCTCATTACATGTCAGTAGTAGTGCTTGGCTTAAAATCCACACTACTAGAACATAGGTCACCTTCATCCAAATCTGAAGGCTAATATGCCTTTCAATTGTACTATTACTGGCAATTTTGCATTGAAGTCACTAGGGGGCATATTTGCTTTGAAGTCTATGGGATGTGATTGTACATGAAAGTCTATGGGACGCGATTTTGCATTGAAGTCACTAGGAGGCGTTTTTGCATTGAAGTAAATGGGGAGGTGACTTTACATAAAAGTCTTTGAGACGAAATTTTGCATTTAAGTCACTAAGGGGCATTTTTGCATTAAAGTCAATAGGGACACGACTTTGCATGAAAGTCTATGAGATGCAATATTGCATGAAAGTCTATGAGATGTGATTTTGCATTGAAGTAATTTGGGGGCATTTCTGCATGAAAGTCCAAGAGACGCGATTTTGCATTGAGTCAATGGGGATGCAATTGTGCATGAAAGTCTATGGGACGCGATTTTGTGTTGAAGTCACTAGGGGGTGTTTTGCATGAAAGTCTATGCAAAGCCACTTTGCATGTATCGGCACCATTATCAGCACCTTTTTTCTTATCGGCAAAATGTCAATAACACTATATTCGGCCGATATGTTTCAGCCACCAATATAGTGGTGCACTCCTAATACCTATGTATAGTTTTTTAAGTATTTCAAAAGGGTTAACTGCTTTGTCACAGTTTACTGCTCTTTAGGCCCCTACGATGGGAAGAGTTCTATTTGCTTCCTTTTCTGATGACATACATGACATGTCTGTAAGATGTATGACCTGCTGCCCTTATCTGAAGTTAATTTTTTTGTATATTGCTTATGAAAAATTGTTTATACTGTCCTTGGCTTCCTGGTGGATTCTTTGTAGAAGTATGCAGTAAGAATGAACTACTCTGGGTAGGGAGTTTGATTCACAGCAATGCCCTGGTTGTCATCAGGCAAGGTACCACTACACTTCTCAACAGGGACATAGAAAACAATTAAAACACATCAAAGGATCTAAACTCTATCCAAATCTAAAAATGCTTTAGCTAGAGATCTACAATGAGTAGTTTCTCTAACATACTTTAAATTCTCTGTGGGATATTTAGGCTCCACAGCAGAACACACATATCCTAATCTTAAGCATATTGGTCACCGGATCCACTAACACCATGGGGTTGATTTATGAAAACTGGAGAGTGCAAAATCTGCTGCAGCTCTACATACAAACCAACCAGCGTCCAGGTTTTTTGTCAAATCTTAATTGAACAAGCTGAAGTTAGAAGCTGATTGGCTACCATGTACAGCTGTACCAGATCTTGTACTCTCCAGTTTCAGTAAATCAACCCCACGTGTTTCTCTGCAATTAATTTGATAGAAAGGGAAAGAATGGCACGATGCCTATTCTAGGATGAAGTATAAGTTAAAAACACCACATCTGCTGTACTTGTATTTCCCCTATTAACTGCTTTGACAAACCACTTCACAGATACTCCTTGCAACCTTTTCCACAAAACAGAGCAAAGTCTAAGCAAGACTATTGAATTTCAGCGCTGAAAACTTGCATTATATAAATCATGTATGTTTGCCCTGATTCTTTGGACGTGCAACATGCAGTTACGTGGCTAAATAGCAAATGTCAGACTATAAATATCAGTCCTATTTTTAAAAGGCTGCATGTCCAATACAGTTTTACAAATCAACCTATTAATATTAGGTGTATGACAAACCTAGTTTAAAGACAAAAAGTGAGAAAAAAAAAAGGCATGGCTCTTTCTTACTCTGGTCGTAAATGCAAAGAGATCTCTGATTTCAGTAATGGTCAAAGACTTCCCTGCCCTCTGCCAGTCATTCAAAGCCACTAACTTTTTTCCACTTTTTGTTCAACACATTTACAAAAAATTATTTGTAAACTAGTTAAAAAAGATAATGCCACATCAAACATGTTAACAATCTTTGAAAAAAAAGGAGCCGCAACAGGCCCAACGACATCAAACCGATTTGATATGGGTTTGATGCAGCTGGGACTGTTGCCGCTTTCTGTGGGACCCTAGGTGATTCTAATCTTTAGGTCTTTAGTGTTCCCCCACCCTATATGCATTTGGGGGTGTTATCTTAATAATCTATCTACCGGGATGAAGAATTTTGATCATACATTTTTGGTTGTTTTTGTTTAGATTACTATTTGAATAAACAGATTGAGTGCTCCTGAGGAAGTGGCTAAAGTCCATGAAACGTGTCTGGCTAAAAGAAATGAATCATCTGTGATGCAATATGTTGCGCTATCATGTCTTGATTTTTTAATATTTGTACAAATCAGGTTTTGTGAATCATTATAAGAAAAACATGTTTAATGATTAGTGACATGAAATAGATTATGATTTTAGATATATGTTGTGCCTCAAAAGTCCAAATTTTAGGGGTTTTTTTTTTCCCCCTTTTTCTTCCTCCCTTTTTTACATGTACAAAAAAATTATTGAGCATTGTCACCAAATAACAGAAAGTGTCTGAACAAGGACTTTCATGGCAGCATCACCAGATATTATTTTATTGAAATCAGATTTACAAATATTGAAAATGTTGTTTGAAATAACATTAAAATGTTAAGGCTAATATGAGATTCTAGTGATTTGGTGTACATTTACTTTACAGTTAGAACCTCTGACGGTTTTGTATTGCTGCCTGTGTCCTTGATTGGCTGTCAGTTTCCTGGTGACTGTGTCCTTGAGATTGGGGATTGCAGTTCCTTGAACTTGGGGACTTCTTTGATTACAGTACATATAACTCATAAGGTTTCTGGAAGCATTTACTAAACAAAAAACGTAATCACTTTTCTGCAGTAAAAGCTATATCATTACATAACTATATAATTCCCTGATATCTAAGTATAAAATAATATATATTTATATAAATGTATTTAAGGATATATTACAGTATATGCATGAAACCAAGTTGCTCAATAAATAGGATCAAAGTAGAAATTCTTACATTCGATTTTAACAGTAGCAGTTCAACTATTTAAATATTATTAGGTTCCACATAGTTCACTGATTATCTTTTGACCATAAAGTATGATATTCAGTAACTGGTGGACCAAATGGAAAAAATACTGCATTGGGCAATATTGAAAAGCATGATAATACATTTTTTTTATAGTTTAATATACGGTAACATTAGCATCATGTATAATTCTCAGCAATATACAGAGCATATACAGAGCTAACGGCTTGCATATAACGACTAATGCCTCTCGATTTCATGTGACTTTAGTCTGCATTTGAGATGCTTAGGAGTTAATTTTAAGCTGTAGCCCTGCTTTGGAGCTGCTTTTGCATTTTCATTGATATGTATGAAAAGAATAGCATTTCTGGCATAAATAAATGTCCATAAACTAAAACCCTTATTGTTCATTTAGACAAACCTCAAGAATATATTTTATAATTTTATGGATTGGTAGAGGAAAAAGAGTAAAACAAAAAAAATGATGTGCATGCATACAGCTGGAATTTAAGTAATGGTCTCAGAACTACAAGGTAAAACTGTTATGCCTTCAAACACTATTTTTTATATGCTGTACAGTATGTGTTATATAATACTTTATTAATTATGAACATTTTATTAGGTTTCCATGGATAGTCCATGTTTCTCTCACCTATGCAGACAATGTCCATAAAGCCATACATGCCATAGCAGATCTGGAACAGCAGGTCTTGACGCTGCCATTTGGCAGAGGGGCTGAGAGAGGACCAGATTAACCAGGATATGCTGGCAATAAGGAAGAGGGAGCCCAGTATTATAGCTGCTATCTGCACCTTCTCAATCACAGTCAAGGAGATGGCCTGCCACTGCAAAGTAAAGGAAAATGTGGTTAGATACACATGATATTTGCAATGGCTTAATTATATACTGTACAGTATAAGTTTAACTTTTTTTGACATCTCAAATGAACCACAATGAAACTAAAAGATACAAAACACCAGTCAAAATAAGCTGAAGCTTAAAACTGACACAAAAATGTAGCATGAATTAATGTAAACTCCATCTAATCATTATGAATGAAAAGTAGTAGTTCAAGCACAGTCTGCTTCCCAAATACCAGGCTAGAAAACAGATCAAGGCTTATAATACCATGAAGAACACAGAGGAATTTTTCATGTTAGAGTACGATCACATAACAAAAAGATGGCAGAAAAATAAGGACTGTCATTGCTGACCTCTACTAAAATTTTGGTTGTCTAGATTTCAGATCAGCCATCTTTCTTTAGTAGTTTGAATACTGAATCTAGAACCAGAATGGAGATAAAGATGTATAAATTCTCTGATATTTTTTTCTACTGGTTGAACTGGATGGAATTGTGTCTTGTTTCAAACTGACTAACTATATCACTACTGTATGTACCTGATATGCATACCTGTTTTATACCTTTAATACATTTTACACCACCTATGTCAGTGGCAGGGTGGGGGTTACACACACTACTGGCAGCTGTCTTTGTAAATCTGACAAGCATACTTGCGGTTGTCAGATGGAAGCGGTCCTATGGCTTTGCAGCCACCAGATCACTTCCACACACCCCGGTAATGGCCGTCTCCACGCCCCGATCCCCTCCATGGTGCTGTCAAGTAGAGGGAAGGGAGCCCAGTGAATGTCCATGGTCTTCTATTCCTGTTACTGACCTGGAAGCGACATGTAAAACACTACACATGTTACATATCTCTGCAAGATTTCTCTGGGAGAGCAATAATTTTAGGCCCTTTATTCATGGTTAACTCTAAACTGATGACCTGAAGAGGCTTTCAAAGCATCGCCTATGGAAAATATAGGGTACAGAAGTTCGTTGCCTTTTCATGGGCGCAAGCAATTTCAAGCCTTGATATGGGTATCTTTTTACTCTGTGTAACCTCATCTTTTATATCTTACTGAAAAATTGAGCAATATATTGCATTTTTGTGCCCTAAAATTAAAGTGATCGCAATTGTAAAGTCCTAAATATTTTTTAAAAAATAACAGAGGTTTATACTTACCTGCTCTGTGGGAAGGAATTGTACAGAGAGGACCGGAATCTTCTTCTTGGGTCCCCCTCTGATGCTCCTAGCTCCTCCTCTTCTTGGTGTGCTATCATAGGAAGCCGCTTCCTATCATGGCATACCAGCATGCCTGATCACAAGCCCCACTGCCTGTGTCCATTCAAAATACAGCAAGGTTTGGCCCTGCCTTCCCACCTCTCGTTACAGGATTTGACTGACAGCAACAGGAGCCAATGGCTCCTGCTGCTCTCAGCAAAGCCTGTGTGTGCGGGGAGAAGATAAGAGAGCCACTGCTCTCGTGCAAAATGCTGGATAAAGATCTTGCTCAGATGGTAATTATTATGGGGGTGAAGGGCAATACTTTAACCTAAACATTTTTTACTTTAATGCAAGGAATGCATTGTTTAGGCCGTAGAACCACCTTACCTTTTTACAAAAACGTAGTGTTTCATAAACGGTTGCGCTAATATTGTGTGGCATAAAAAGCTGGAACTATCACTACTTTATTCTCCAGGGTGTCTGCTTTCAGAAAACATACAATGTTTGGGGCTTTTATGTAATCTTCGGGCCTTAATGTGAAAAATGCAAAAACGGCAAAGGGTTAAACTCAGTAAGGTTGATTTACTAAAGGAGAACAGGCTGTTCATTTTTAAAGAGAATATTCACTGAGCGTATTAAGTAAGGGTGAAACTGTGTTCACTTTCACCTACCAATAATGTTCTAGCAAAAATTATATGTTTCATTTCCCTGTTATTAGGCATTCAAAGTATTATACAACTAATTTCATGAACTATATATACATCTATCTTCATCTCCTTTTTAAATATTTTTAAAATATAAATTTTTTTTTAGCCCCCACCCCACCCCCCCATCTTTTTTGGCCAGCCTATTACAATATAGCTACACACCCTCACATAGGAGTGTTAACAGACCTTACCATCAGCATTCAGCTCACATTATGTCACGTCATAATTTTATTTTTTTTTTTTTCTGGCTTTTATTCTTCCCCCTCTCCCCTTTTATTTTTATTTTTCTCTTTCATCATTTTATTTATTTATCTTTTTTTTACATTTTTCTTCTTTTCATTTGTACAATCGTTGGTGTGCTACAGTGCGCTGGGTCCACACCTGGTATGGTGCCGCCGTAGCGCATCTCCAGTTCCATCCGGGAGGCGCGCGGTCCCCCTGGTGCACTCCAGCAGTCTTTTCTTGGCTAGCACTGGACATGGCGTCATTATGACGCACTTCTAGCTGGTCACTTCCGGCCTTTGTGTGTTCCGGTGGCCATTTTTTGACTTCTTTGTCATTTCTCCAGTTTTTTCCTGTAGATGTGCATAAATCAACTTTACTTTCCACTACACCATGGCATTTCTGCAAAAGATGTTGGTCCCGTTTTGAGGTATTGTGACAGCATGCTGTTGATTCTAACAAAACTTACAGTTCTTCATTTTACATTGAAATTGATTTTATTTTATTATTGTTTTGGTATAACCATTACATTGTTTTTAATACTGTACTCTTGAATTTTTTTTATACTTATATATATTTCTTATACTTATATATTAATACCAACTATGTATTTATTTTCTGCATATATGGTTTCAATCAACTCCCATGATCCTCTCCTCTCTTGGATTTGAGGGGGGGGAGCTTTGCTTTAGGAGGTATTGGCCACACACATGTAAAGTAAGGCTCCAACCCAGGTTGGCCATAGCTCTGAGGAAACGTGCCAGCAGGCCGACCGCACCATCAGTCAGACACTCTGCCACCTTTGCGGCCATCTCTATGGCCTTATAGACTTTATACATGTGCTGTTTGTGAGTATATTTTTTGTCTTTTTATACTTTCATTTAAACCTTGGTTAATGCGCTAGGTGTTTGCACCACCTGTATGCCTTCTCACCTTATTTACTGACATTCACTTTGCAGCATGCCTATACACTATTTATTGAACAGCCTCTAGTCCTTTAGTGCATCAACCCCAGTGTACAGTATAACCACCAGCAAGAAGTTCATGAATGGTGGCTCCAATCTTCGTCAAATGACAGGTTTTCTATGCTGGATTAATTGATTGCTGTTATGCATACACTGCATATATATATATATATATATATATATATATATATATATATACACACACAGACTGAAAAAAATTAAAGGAACACATAAGATCTCAATAGGGAAAAATATCATGCTGGATATCTATACTGGTGTGGACTGAGTAATGTGTTAGAAACATAAGGATGCCCAATCGTTTGATGGAAATTAAAGTTATCAACCTACAGAGGACTAAATTCAAAGACACCCTGAAAATCAAACTGAAAAAATTATGCAGCAGGCTTGTCCATTTTGAAATTTCATTGCAGCAAATCAAAATGGTACCCAGTAGTTTGTATGTCCCCTACGTGCTTGTATGCATGCCTGACAATGTTGGGGCATGCTCCTAATGGGATGACGGATGGTGTCCTGGGGGGCATCACTGAGCTCCTGGACAGTCTGAGATGCAACCTGGTGGCGGCAGATGAACCGAAACATGATATCCCAGATGTGTTCTATTGGGTTTAGGGCCAATCAATGGCATCAGTTCCCTCATCCTCCAGGAACTGCCTGCATGCTCTCGCCACATGAGGCTGGTCATGCACCAGGAGGAACCCTGGATCCACTGCACCAGCGTTGGTCTGACAATGGGTCCAAGGATTTAATCCTGATACCTAATAGCAGTCAAGGTGCCATTGTCTAGCCTTAGAGGTCTGTGTGTACCTCCATGGATATGCCTCCCTAGACCATCACTAACCTACCACCAAAACAGTCATGCTGAATGGGTGTTACAGACAGAATAATGTTCTACATGGCTTCTCCAGACCATTTCACATCTGTCAAATCTGCTCAGGGTGAACCTGCTCTCATCTTTGAAAGTACAGGGCGCCAGTGGCGGACCTTCCAATTCTGGTGTTCAATGGCAAATGCTAATCGAGCTCTATGGTACCGGCCAGTGCGGACAGGGCCCACTAGAGGATGTCAAGCCCTCAGGCCACCCTCATGAAGTCTATTTCTGATTGTTTGGTCAGAGACATTGACACCAGTGACCTGCTGGAGGTCATTTTGTAGGGCTCTGGCAGTGCTCATCCTGTTCCTTCCTGCACAAAGGAGCAGATACCGGGTTTGCTGATGGGTTAAAGACCTTGTACGGCCCTGTCCAGCTCTCCTAGAGTAACTGCCTTTTTCCTGGAATCTCCTCCATGCTCTTGAGGCTGTGCTGGGAGAAACAGCAAACCTTCTGGCAATGGCACGTATTGAGGAGTTGGACTGCCTGTCCAACCTCTGTAGGGTCCAGGTATTGCCTCATGCTACCAGTAGTGACACTGACCCTAGCCAAATGCAAAACTAGTGAAAAGCAGTCAGAAAAGATAAGTAGGGAAAAAAGGTCAGTGGCCTCCATCTGTAAAACCATTTCTGTTTTGGGGGTCATCTCATTGTTGCCCATCTAGTGCGCCTGTTGTTAATTTCATTAACACCCTCTGCTACTTAATTGACCAGATCAACATACCAGAAGTTTAATTGACTTGATGCTATACTCTGATTAAAAAGTGTACCTTTAATTTTTTTTTTGAACAGTATATATATATATATATATATATATATATAAAAATATTATTA